TTTTAAGCTGCAGAATCCAGCTACTTTCAGCGGTACACAGAGTTGTGTTAATTACACACCAAACTCTTGCTCAAAGTTAATTAAAAAGAAATCAAAAAAGTCACGGCAGATCCTAGTTAGACTGACAGCCACAGACTTGCACAACTGATAGGAAGATTTAGGAGTTATGTTAAGTCACAAGAAAGTTGTTAAGGCATTATTGCTAACAAGATTACCAACTCTTTATGCTGCCAAGACATAGGAAGAAAAAAATGCTCTTACACAAAGCAATACAACCTCTGGGCATTTTCTGAGCTACACCATCACTGCTACCTGAGCCTATATTAAGTAGTTCCTCTTCAGTCTATATAGTCACATGGTACTAACTCTAGCCAAAAAAAGCAGAACAAGCTGATTTTAAAAATGGCAAGTTTGCTAGTTTTGACTTATATTCACTGTGCACCTCAATTCTCCAGTCTAGTAAGGATACCAACTTCCAAACCCCTTTCACTGTCGTCTTCTAGAACAACTTTTGTAACCATGCAAAGATTTTCTACCCAAGAGTGAGTCACATAGCAGGACACTGCTGTGCCAAGTACTATACAAATGTAAAACAAAATGGTTCCTGCTCTAAAAAGTTCACCGTGTGAGGAAGCTTGTTCTACTCAGTCCTTATATGTCCAACTCCACTGTAATGTCTGCTAGAGCCTTCTTAAAAACTTTTTTTCAAACAAAAGGCCCCCCGTAACTTCAAACAAAGAACTCTCTCATATTAAAATCAGCTGCCTTTTAACCATACACCATCTACCTGCCCAGAAAAATGCATAATGCTTTAATTTATCAGGACCCTTTTTTGTGTGTTTGTTACAGTTACCATTTATTTTGGCAAATAGGCAAAAAACACATTAATATCTATCCCAGGAATGTAGATAACTGCACTCTGACAAGTGTTTAAAAGAAGAAAAATATAAAATCAAACCATTAATAAACTCCTACCAGGTCAGACATGTTTGTAAAAGAAAAATGGTGTAAGAGCTCACTTTGTCATAAAAATGATACTTTAAGCAACAAATCACTCATGCCAATCAACTGACAGAATACTATTTGGGGAATTGTTAAAAGAAATGGAGAAACAAGTACTATGTTCATGATTTCAAAGGGAAACAAAACAGTATTAATAGTTGAAATGTAAAATGGAAGGAATGAGATTGATCTTAGATATGTTATGATTGTGACATTCAGTATAATGCTGCCTAGATTCTGACTTCCAATTGCTAATGTAAACTTAATCCTGGAATAATAGAATACATTGCAAGGCCTAGATTAAGTCCTAGAATACAGCACAAATACTGCATGAATATGCCTGAAGACGAAGGTGTTTTTTGGAGCGGAATTTAGTTTTTCCTTTGCCAACGACCTTACCAATTAGTGATTATTCTGATCCTAATGCTTGAATTTGGGCTTCTCTGATGGTACAGAAGTGGGGCTAACATCCCCCTTCTCTTGCACGCTAATGGCTAAACTGCCTTGGACAGGCAATGTAGTGTCAGCCTCTTCAGACACAGGGGAGATGTGTGAATAAAGTTGTTTCTAACAGGTAAAGGGCCTTACTATCAGCTAGGGCAAATATGCCAAGGAAAGTTACTTTCAGTAAGTGACTACATAAAGGGACTAGTTAGTTTGCCTATCCTGTGAACTTGTTACACACTAGTATACTTTTAAGTCTGCCCTTCCTGGCCATATGTGCTACTTGTTTTATCAGGTGGGCATGTTCCTGAAACCAGATTTTATGTATTTATCTTCACAATATATTTGGCCCCACGAGATCAGCGAACTGCTATCTCTTTTTGCTTTCTGGCAATGACAGAGAGGGTTAATTTAATTTCCAAAAGGCAAATAAATACATGGCATCCTGCAGGTTCATGTGTTACTTCCATTAAATAGTTTATGGGCCAGTGGCCCATACTAACTAAGATGGGCTTGTAGTATGATAAGAAGCAGATAGACATGTCTCACTCTAGATAGAGGATTTTCCAGTATCCAACTCGCTAGGAACAAGTTAGTTATTCTTCTGTGAGATACCTCTGGAAAATTTTCCATACGTGAGAACCAGTGGTCACTACCAAACATCACGGCAGCACAAAACCAGTTGATGAAATAGCTAAGAATAGACCCAGTCTATCCCCTTCCATAGTGGATTTTGTCACTGAACATAAGAAGAGCAAGGTCATACTGAAGAAATAAAAAATGGCTTTGCAAGATCTAAGCCCATTAATGTGAGCTAGGTCCATTTGCTCTGAATTCCACTCCTTCCCCACAGACTCAACCTTCTTTTAGCTGAGGATGACTCTAGGGGATTATCTCCAGAGCCCATTAAATGCTGCTCTGAGGTTGGCCAAAGGCACTGCTGCTGAAGGACATGACACCTGTGGGTGTGACGAAGGTGCCTTTTCAGCGTTCGGGGCAAAAGATGGAATCTGGGATTTTGGCATTGGGCTGCTGAGTACTGCATCCAGTTTTGTTGTTGCTCTTTATGCTTAAAGCTGCTCCAAACACTTTCTGTGAGATTAATCCTTACAGTTTCTCTATTGAACAGTATTTCCTGAATTTTTTATTTCTAGTCTATAGCTCTAATTATTCCTTCTCCTCCCTTGGTTTCTTCAACTATTTATGAGGTCCTAATTAGGGGAAAAAAGAAAAATCAATCTCTAAGAAAACCGGAACTTACTTAAAGTAAGTATCATGCATACATAGTTAATTACTTAATGGTTGGCATGAAAGCATGTCACTGTGGGAGAGCAGCAACACATTGTTCTCCAAGTGCCAAAGCTAGCAGGTAACTGTCAGGAAAAAACGTAAATTGACCATCATGCAATGCATCCCCTCCGTGTACCAGAGGGTATGTAATAAGGTTTAAAAAAAATAGTTCTAATCCTCATTCCATTTCTTTCCATTAAAGGAGAAAACTGGAGCATTTACTTCCCTGTGTCATATTTCTTTCTAAGATCCTCTGCAAATATGTGCAAAAGAAAGCATAACTTTGAAATACCGATAATACTGACTACCTAATCATGATGCTAGTGTAATAATGCAGGTACAATTCAAACATAGGAACAGTTTCTTCACTCCCTGCAAGAAGCTGTCCTGAAACAGGATTCCTTATCCAGTGGTCACCTTTGTTCCATACCTCAATGGAAAGCACTGCTAAAGTGTGACATCCTGACAAAATGCCAGCTCTGGGGTGTTATGACCAAGAGTGTCACCTATCCCAGACAAACTGGATGGGATAGGTTACATGCCCTGTTCACGCAAGTGGTAGAGCATCTCTGTACATGAGGGTCACTTCACTGTAAACACAACTGCACTGGATTTTCAGCTCCACAGTACCATTTTATAAAGTGAGTATGAGTTGGGGGATTGTAACAGTCAATTACTCAGATTATTTCAGTCAAGAAAACAGCAGCAGCACCACAACACTAAAGCTTCAGGACTTTAGAAGGCTCCACCATAGCTCAGAAGCTTTGATACAGAGATGCTGTCTATGTGATGTACTTCGATAAGAGACATGAAACTTTGAGATGCATAATTTCTTTTCACTCTGAGCAACTCCAAGAAAACCCTTGAAATCTTGCTTCCAGTGTAAGGCTGATTAAATTGCAGTCTCCCACCTTCCTGATCCTGTCAGTCCTTTTTACAGGGATGGTATTTCCACCAGTCAACATTTTCTCATGTACATGACAGTTACCCCTATTCTATAGTCCCCCTCTGGTGAAAATCATCATGTACTCACAAATAAAATGTTTATGCTACTTCAGACACATGCCAGACACAATGCACCTGCTACCATTTCCCTCTCTCCATCTACTTACTTTGCTATCCCCTTAATGTAGTACTCAGGTACCTTTTCTTTCCCCCATCTGAAGGCAATGTTGTTTCTGACTGCATCCACTTTAAAGCAACCCTCACGCTTCAGTGCTTGGAACACTGCACAAGGATTCACTCGTTGTGGTGAACCATTGTGTATATTCATTTGGTTCTCATTTAATAACACTGAAAATAGTCTGGATTGAATGAAGAAAGATTCACAGTTAAGAGTGCAGACTCCTGTGTCAAGCTGTAATTCTTACTGTGAACATGAACTTTTTTACTACAACATGCAGGACAGTGTCATTCTCCATATAATTCCCTCAGTGTTTTATGAAACAAATATGAAGGAAAGAAGTTTTTTTGTCTTATCAATTATCCTCCTTATTTTTGTCCCAAGGAAAATATATTTTGTCTAGCTACAATATTAACTTTCATACAAAACCAGTCTAGTATGGTTTGATTATCCAGAATGTGGAATATAAAGAAATCATTCAATTTGACAACAGTAAGTGTTCTCTCTGAGGACTTTTACCAAACTCTGTACTGTTTTGAAATTTGTTAAAAGTGGTCAGGTCAGTGGGGTTCAAATATTTCAGTGTCTGTAAAGGCAACAGAAGCATCTGTGGTGGGGCATTAAATACACTGGAAATCAATTCTCAACTCTGATCTTCACTATGTAACTTGAAGTTGTTGTAATTTCTTTCTATAACACAACCACTCTTTGCTTCTGTGTTTCTTATTGCAATAAAAAGCCTGAAATATTAAACATACAGAAGAATTAAATTAGAATTTGTAAACTAGCAGTAATATTATTCTGTTTTCAATGTTCTAAATCCTTAAAGTTCAGCTTAAATAAACGTCATGTACCAGCTCCTTAAACAGCGTTAGCAATGTAAACAGCATTTAAAAATGCAAGAAGTTCAACTTTGTAAAAATTACATCTGCAGGCTGTTAAAGGAGAATCTGCAAGAAATGTCAAACAATACTGTTCCTTGTGTACTCCACTGAAATAACAGGAAAGCTGCATCTGGAAACAGTTACTGGCACAGGACTTAAATAAAGTATTGCGTTACCTTTAATGAACTAAATATTATTAATCGAGAGCCGGATATAACAGTGTGCCATCCAGCTGGCTTGTAATTCAATTAATTTACCTTCTTGGGAGATGACAATGGACTTTGATGATTTGATGGTTTTGCTGTCTAGAGTCCAGGTGACAGCTGCAGGGGGATCAGAGGAAATCCGACACTGTAAGACCAATTTTTCACCATCTACTACTTGAGCATCCTGAAGTTTCTCTGTAAAGGAGGGTGCCCTTCCTTTGCTTGCTGGTGGTTTGCTTGCTGTTGCTTTGTTTTCAGCTTTTTTCCCAATTATTCCGCCATCCACTACTGCGCACCCATGTTCACAGTTTCTGTCATTCTTCTCTTCTTTTTTCACTGCTGGTTTGGCAACAGGGGCTTGAGAATTGGGGGTTGCATTCTGGGCTTCAGAATTTGTGCGGGCATTTGGTGCTGGGGTGCTAGCGCTGCCATTCTCTGCAGGTGGCTTTTTCTTTGAGCCCAGCACAGATCTGAAATCTGTAATGGCTGGTTTAGGAGGTGGCACCTTCTCTGGTAATGGGGTTTTTGGGGTGCCTTTCTTGGCCAGCACAGAGCGAAAGTCCACCTGCTGAGGAGCATGAACTTTCCTTTCCTCCTCTGACAAGGCCTTGGGTTTGACCTGCCGTTGCAGGTTTGCTCGGAAGTCCATTTGCTCGGCTGGGATTTCTTTCAGTTCCTCCTCAGAAAAACGTTTGGTGCTGACTTTTTTGCCTAAAATGTCACGGAAATCAAGTTGCTCAGCTTCCTGCTGCCTCAGGCTCTCCTCTGTGTGTTCCCGAGTTTCCACTCGCCTCTTCAGCACGCCTCGGACGTCTTCCTGCTCTTCCTCAGCTGCTCTGGTATCACTGCTGTTCTTTTTGAAGCCACTTGTTCTACCAAATGTTAGTTTACCATGATCTCCATCATCTCTTTGCTCTCCAGAGCTGGCTGATTCCCTCCCACTACGATCCGAAAAAGAAAAGAAAGAGAGAGCCAGGAAAGGGGCTGGTTTAAAAATGTCAGGGAACAATCTCAGAGCAGGAACAAAATGTGTTTATAGAAGGGGAGGTTGATTAGAGGAGCACACTCCATTAGTTTATTGCATCAATGATGACTTCAGGAGCCATATAAGGGCACAAACAAAAAAGATCTCTCTACTCTGGCTTGGTACAATGTGCTTAGCCTGTATGATGAAAACAATTTGTTGGGTCACATTTGGGGATTAGGTTGAACAGCAGCCAGCCTGGGTCTGTAAGGGCAGGGAATTAACGGAGCAAAAAATAGAACCCACCCATGCAAGTCCCTGGGAAAAATACTCACTCTCTGAGCATTTCTGTTCTGGAAGCTGAACTCTCCCGCAGCATCAGAGACACCTGGCAGCTGCATTCTCCAACTTGGTTCCTGAAATATTTAAGTGAAATCAGAAAAGCAGAGGTTTCTCCCTCCAAAACTGTAACTTGCCTGAGCTAAGTGATTGTGTGTTGCACTAAAGCAGCTCAAACCCAGTGTGGCATCCTCCTTTCCTATGCCCAGCATTGTGGTGGTTGACTGGGTGGATTTGGTCCCCTTATATTTGGAGCCAAGCTATCTCAAATAGCTTTTACTGATCTGTTGCTGTCTACACTGGAAACAACATACTCCCTGAACAAAAATCAAAGCAATTTACAGAATGAAACAGCTGCAAACAAACAAGCTAAAGGAAAACAAATACAAAAGCTGGAAAATCAAGGCAGAGGAAGGGGCTATTTTGCAAAGTTGAAAATCTTTCCAACTCTGCCTACTGTTTATTTATTCAAACCCAAGCTCTTAAGTTTTCTAATGTTAAGATATTAAAAGCAGGGTCTCATTTCCTTCCCTCCCTCCCAGCCCAACCAATCAGCAAAACCCACCTACATGGATTGCTCCAGCCTGTACATGTTTATATTAAAAAACATAAAAGTGTCACCATATATGGTGCTGAGTACTTATTCTTCCTTTTGCAGAGGAATACCATGGATGCCTTCTGGAAAGGGCTCCCATTAAACAATTCATTTAAAGTGCTCCCCCCACCCCCACTGCTCCCTACCTCCCGCAGATATATATCATTCTTCTAGCCCCAAACGGCTCTTCTCCACTTAACACAGGAGATGCCAAAAGCAAAATTTAACTCCCCCAGGGCAGCAGTTGTGTAACTGTTGCCACTGCTCCCCTGAACTGCTATTAAAAAAACAGACTTGAATTGATTAAGGACTAGAGATATCTTTCATTAGTGAAAACACTTTCGTCCTTCCCAGTTTAAGTTTGTAAATGGACTACAAACTCCTGGATTTTTCTTTTTCAAACAAAAATAATTTTTGCTACTGAAAACATTTCCTGGACGTGAACAAAACACATGTGCATTGGCGGGAGGAAGGAAAGAGAGGTGGGTTTTCCTAGCTGTGTTCTCTTTTCGAAAGACTTGCTAGATAAGAGCATCTCCAAGTCCACGTTGCCCTGAAGTTTAAAACACAGACTCAGGAGTGCCTTTTCACTTTCAGGAGTGACAAACATATTGTCTGTCCTGTTTTTTAAATAGTGCATGGAAATACATTCCTAGATATGGTTCTGTTTGGGTGAATAAACTATAATTTCACACATTTGCAACTTGCAATGAAGTCACACAGTAGGCAAGATCATTAACACAGACGCAACACTAAGTTATGTCTTTATAATAGCAATTGGTGCCATCACCTTTTCAGATGGATTTCCCTTGCTTTCTGTTGCCTTAGAAAATGAAACAGTGGATCAGCCTAATATGAAAATCAAGCCTTTAACACCAAGAAGAAATTGGTGGGGTTGACCGAAGTAACTGGATTGCAAAGTAAAGGCCCTGCTGCTAGGATCACATCTTATTTGACCTTACGACCATTAACAATAGGAAGCCATAGAAACGTTTTCAACACTTTGTATCCAACAAGTCACAATATGTACGCTAGAAACTGTTATTGCAGGCGATCCATAAGAACAGCACTGAAAGCCACAACCCTAATTTCCTTCAACACAAAAGACTAGAGAACATCTGAATACCAAACAGAAACTGTCCAAATGGCAGGAGAGGATCCAAGTCAATGCAGAGGGTATTTAACTCAGTCCTACACTGGAGACCTGCTATTTTTACTTCCTCTTATGTGTGACCTCCATTTGGAAGCAAGAGAAATAGAAAGAAGGAAAGACAAATGGAAAGATAAATAGAAAGAATTGCACGTCACCTCCTCCCAACATACCCTGGCATCAAATGATAGCAGGGTACCAACACTGCTGAAAACCTGTTGTCTTCAAACAATACATTTCAAACTGGCCCATTTTGCCACTGTTGAAACTCAGGAATTTTTTTCCTGCTTCTCAGAAGCTTTTAAGAAAAGCAGACACACTCTGAAACTGCTCAAGTACTTTCTCGTTCACCAGTGCTACAGGGCTGTTAGCAGGCTGTTAATTTACCAGAAGATGCCTCCCATAAGTCTCCTAGAGCTCAATTACTCTTCCTTTAGGACATAAAACCAATCCAAAGCTGACAAAGTAGGAGAGGCCATGCAACCTGAAGTATAGAGCATTTACAGCATACATCAAATAGGGAGGCAGCACTGCTCAGCTTCTGTCATGACTGTATGGCAAAAATATTTGCCCACAAGAATTGTGTCACCAGTCGGGGAGGTTAAAGTAACAGAGACAGCACTCTCCCATGAGAGAGATCTAGGGATACTGAATGTGGTCCTGACCACTGTGAAGAATAGTAACATTTCTGCAGGACCCATTTCTGCAACACATCTTTCCCTCTGCAAATTCTTCACATATGCAAAGAAGCAAACAAGGAAGACAAAGTAAATCTCTCTAAACTAAGCTATTTTTCACGGGGTTTGGAAAATAAAGGAGGGGGTAAGAAAGCAGGAGAGCATTTTGTTCCTTCTATTTTTAAAACCTTGGGAAGCACTTACAAATTATGGCAACAGCGGGATATAGAAGTACCTAGATGGAAAAATAATTCACAAGGTAGTTTTTTGATCTTAATTATGATTTCTGATTCAGAAAACTAGACCACTGGATATAAAGCTCGAGTCTATGTCTGATTCATCATATCCCTGTTCAAAAGTGTAGCCTTCTCAGGGCAAGTCCTGCTCCAAATGGAATCAAAGTGAATTTTGTTACTGATTTTAGGAGCAGGGAGAACATAATTTTGTCTTCTGAATTCAGTTGCAGAGTCTAAAAAGGTGAAGTTAATAACACTGACCCACCTTGGAGATCACAAGACGGAAAAAGAGAAACAAGCCAAGGAAAATTAAGAAGGACTGGATGGTTTAGATGCTAAATTCAATCAAGAATAATTCTGGAAACTTTGTAAATATTTTTACATTTACGCAATTTCAGAACCTAGGCAAGGCAAGATACATAGGGGCAGTTAGAAAAAATAGAGCTTTGCAGTACACAAGCACTACTTCAAGTCTTTCATGTCTCTGCTGTTTTGAATTTTGGCAATAACAATATTACTTCTGCAACTTGAGGTTCTCCGAGTTGGCATTTTATCAACAAAACCCTAGACAAAGACAGATCTTAGTGGCTCTGTTGTTGTAGTATAATAGACATGGATAAAACCTATGCTTAGTAGCTTTGCTGTAAAGAAGTGTCTGGAAGTGTTGACTTTTGCAGGATTGTTCTGTAGAATGCCCATGCACAGGACTTATCTTTAAAATGTCAAGGAATAATAATAAAAAACCCCCACCAAAACCAAATAAAACCACAGCTGCAAAGCCTGAAGCAATTTTAAAAATAGCTCTCTGTCCTATTGTGGGATCAGTTTTCCCTGGAATGGCTTTTATGTTCAAAATATCTTGAAATACTAGTTTCTTGGCAGAATCTACTCAAATATTTTCACTGAACCTTAGATGAGACTTATTGTCTGCATGTCCCTAAGAAGCACTCTCTGGAGGAAGAGGAAAAAAAGCACTGTTAATTATAGTGTGGGGACACACCAAAAATTCCTACTGGCCTACCAAGTGTGAAACAAGTATTGCAGAGTGAATGACTTTTTTTTAAGAATGAACTGAAAGGGGCAAAGAGGTTGATCCCTAGCTATGGCTGGTGCTTCAGTGCAGGTAACTGCAAAGCCTCAGAGTGAGGTTTTGCAACTCTTTTGTGAGTTAGTTAAATGGAGAGAAAGTCCAGACTCCATGAAGCTTTAACCCCAAAGAAAGCAACTAATCTACTGGATCACAACTTTAGCTGACATAAAGCAGAGCAGCTCTACTGGCTTAAAAGAGGATGCGCTGATTTACCTCGCTTGAGGGTTTGGCCAAAAGCTTTTTAAACCTGAAAGACCAATCATTTTATTTGCATTTTACAGCATTGAGTGGGAGAATGGAATGGGAAGGGGTCATGGTTTTCTTTCCTAGAAATAGACAATGTGTTGATAGCAGAAAACAAGGTTTGCAAACTGTATTTTACAGAAAGACAGAACTATATTTACTCTTTGGTGTAATGGAATGTAATCTTACAACAGCTTTTTATATAACCTGAATTGCAGAGAATTCAAGGTACCACTGATTTATAAGATGAAATTTTACCTCTGATTTTAATCAGATTATCAGAATCTCTAAATCAGATTAATCAACACTAACCAAACTTTTATGGAAGATAGAGTGGGGGACAAGAGAAATATTCATCATCTGAGAAGACAGAGGTTAACAAAGCAGATGATTTGTTTAAGGAACTGCAGGAGTATTTTTGAGGTCTCTCATGTTTACTGTGCTGTTATAAAGACAAAGGCTTTGCTCAACAAACACAGTCTCTGCCCAGTACTCCCAATTTCCTTGCTTACCTCTTCATTTACGTTGTACCCAGTGACTGAAAGAACATGGGAAAGTCATACTGGGATAAAAGGACATCAGTGCTTGCATCACTGGAAGGATGCAAAGGACAGGAGGAGAAAAAGATGCCTCTGGTTTTCTGAGTCAAAAAAGGATTGTTATTACCCATTTCAACCATGATGGTTTCACAGAGACACTGACTGATTTCTTGTCCCTCAACTACACGGGCTGGCATTTTGCAGGCTGTAAAACTGTTCAAAGGCTGTTCAAATTTCAACAGATGAACCACAGTAATGGGTGAATCTGTTGTTCTTTTTATATTTATGCAACATCATTCCTTGAGGCCTGAGCAATAACAGGCTCAATGGAACATTATTAGCACAATTAAAATGAAGAATGCAAGTGTAGAGGAAGCAGAGGTCTGTGTAGGTTTAAAACAAGGACCGGGAGAGGCTACAATGACTACCCTCTTAAAAGTCAGATTTAGGAGTCTGATATATAGTAAAAGACAAAGCAAACACATATTCTAAATAATGCTGAGGGAGGGAAAGACAGAAAGCCAACCAGCAATCATTGATGGATCACACTAGGATCACGCTGGGCTACACACCCTTGTCAGCTTACTCTCATGAAAGGAGTAAGAACTAGGAAGAGAGAAATAGAGCTTTTGTTAAACCCAAATTTTTAAGACCAGAGTTTTAATTTGCGAGCAGCCAACACAAAAGAAGAACTGTGGAGGTATTAGGACAGAATTTAGAGCTTAAGAATAATGGAGAAGAAAATTGGAAAATAATTAACACTGGTAGGAAACCATGCCCAGACTAAATTAAGGGAGTTGGAGAAGGAATGACTCCCTAAAAGCAGCAATGCAACGTTTCTAAAATTAATACATGAAAAGGAGCTGCACATTTTATTTAAAAAGAAAATTATTATGTTTAAAAATAGCCCACTGTCAACTTCTCTATAAACTCTTCAGTGAATTGACTTGTGGTTTCTCAGTTATTCCATATTTTTAATGGACTTTGTAGGAGTTTTTAAGAGAAAAACACTAAACGCAGCTCTCTCCCTCTCAGGTACTGTTAAGACTGTTTCTGAATATATAAACAATTCTCAAACAAGTACTCAAGACAAATGCAGGCAGTTCAAAAGCTATTTAGACAAGACTATTTGCTGCTGAAAATCATTTTAGCTCTATTGCAAACTTGAAGTTATACAGCTGACATTTGGCTCCTCGGATATTCCTGCGGCAGTTACTTCTCTGTTATTTGTAGTATACAAGCAGTTGTCTAAAAGCATATGACTTTCTGTTCCCTGAACAGTAACGGAGATTTTACAAATGACAGCAGGGTATAAAGAGGTATCAGCATTCCCCTTGCTCTAATTGCAGCATGTCTTTACTCATCACGGATTAGAAAATGCCAACATGAATGCTCTGATCTTTGTGGGATCCCCAGCTATTTCTCCAGTAAAAGGACCAGGGAATAACTGAAACTAGCATTTAATCTGCTGTGTTGTTTTCTAGCTACAACTTTACTTCTTCTCACCGACCAAAAAATTGTGCTTCTCTGCTAATTTTCTGAAATAATTTATTTCCTAAGTGTACATTCTGTTATGTTCTAGAGTCACGATATTGTAAGGCTTCCACTTTGACAAATGTCTTCAGTGGTGAATTTGGCCTAAGTGATCACCAACTACACCTGATCATTAAGGTTGACTTGCTCAAGTCAGTCACAACAAAGTCTTCCACAAAGCCCTCTTGGCTCTCCTTTGTTCTTCCTGTTCTCTTTTCTTCTTTCATCCCTGAAATTTTGCTGAAATATCTCATTCTCTTTCAGTTCAAGTGTAACCACCAGCATATCATAAGAGGAGATGTCCATGTCCAGGGCACACAAACCAAAGTGTGGAAATGTACCAGTAGAAGGTAGCACTTCTTGCAGTTTGGCCTGCTCTTTCATGTAGGGGTTAGTGACCTTAATGAAATTGAACTGGCATTTCTAATCCCACCAGAGGTATTGAGTGTTAGAAATGCCACTGATCCCCAAAGAGACTTTTCTTAGATGCAAGGATGTATGTAGACATGACCTGCACAAATCAGCATTATGGATGCCCTAGATGACCTGGGCTGAATGCAAACAAGCCAATTGTTCTGAAATGAGTCAGTTCACAATTTATTGCAGAATACAAAGGGTCTAAATCTACTGAAGAGCTTATTTGCAAAAAGGTCATGACACACGTGGCCCTACCTACATAAATGTTAGTAATAAGACTTGAAATTAACTGTAGAAAAACTTCATTATAGAAAATCTTGATATACAACAGCTATAATTTTCTAAAGCACTCTTTCCTGGTGAAAAGTGAGTGCCTCATCTGACTTTAAATACTAAAATATACTGAGGCTAATTTGGGGCTGCCTGTGATAGTCTATGGAAACATACCTTAGAGCTAGGCACAGTGACATGTCCATCATTCGGGCAACACTGATTGGAAAGGAAACTGTAACTATAAAAAATTAAACTCACTGTTTAGAGGCTAAACAGGTTAAATTTATTAAGAAATGCCCTCCCTCCTTAGCTTAGGAAGACATGAGTAATTTATTTACAAGCGGACAAAGGACAATTCAGTTTTTAAATTTTGTACTAGACTGAAGTATATAAAAAACTTGTTTATAACATGAAAAAAGTCAAAAACCACCATAAACCAGGCAAGTGCAAGCATTGCAGAACTGCAATGCTAACACTTTGTAATACTGGGCAGTATCTGTCTAAACTGCCTACTGAACTAGTTTGTCTGGACTACAAAGCTAGCATGTGGAGCAGAGCAGATAATTTTCTTCCAGTGTAATGGATTCAAGTGTCCATGATGGTTAAACAAATTTTAATAAAGAAAGTCAGAAATATTAGCCAAGTAAGGCAATACATCTATGCACAATAAATAGCATAGAATGATAACATTAGTTTAAAGTTGTACACTAAGTTTTCTATAACTATATAGGGGATACGTAATTACACCCAATCTTCACCATTAGAGATGGAAAATGCTGTGGCACTTCCTACAAGGTTCTTCATTTAAAGCACAGTTATTTTACCAGAAAAAACAAAATTCAGAACAGCTTTTCCAACTTTTGTAGGAATGACACGAAGTTCAAAGCATCAGGGTGCCTCATTTCAAAGATACATCAGAAAAAGGAGACTACAACTTCCATATAAAATTCAGACATTTCAAACATGGCCAGGAAACGCTTTCTCCCCTTAAAGGTATGGATCATAATCTTGTGGAACGGCCCTTCCTGGACAGGTTGTTCCCATGGAAAGCAGGCATCCTTACAAATATACAGAGAGATGCCAAACATGTTAAACAATAGCTCCAAATTCAAGACATTGATTGTGGTTTCCCTTGCTAGAAACCCAAATTGCTTCCCATACTGCTGCCACAAAGTTTTGTTTTTCAGGATCCCAAAACAAAACTCTGTATTGCTTTGTCCTTCTCTCTGACTCTCCTTGTGTTTCCTCTTTCCTCTTTGAGTTTTATTAGTTCTTTTCATCCCTCAGAAATATTTTGTTCCTTTAGTACCCTACTGTTTTGTGCAAATAGGACGGAAATCTTGTCTTCTTCAGGCGGGAATTTCAACTTGAGGGTAAACATAACTAATTGTTCCAAGGGAGCAAGCTCTTTTCATGGCAAACATACCTGAGCTGAATTTCATATTGGCCTGCATGACGAGACTGCACATTCCTCAAGATCAGTGTGAAGATGTCTTCATTTTGTAGGATTTCACATGCTGTTCCTGGCATTATTTCTTGCCCATCTTTAAACCAGTGAACAGGAGGGAAAGGACCTCCACCAATGGCACAGGATATAAGGACATTTTGCCCAGGAGCTGCTGTCACTGATCTTGGTTTGCTAATGAACCAGGGCTGAATACCATCCTGAGGTTCTGTAGTTTACAAACACAGTTTACAAATCAGGAGAAAATGCCAAGTTTCAATGTAACTAATAAGCTAACTAATTTCAGGGAAAGCAATCACAGACAAGCAAAGTTATTTTGAACATGCAGGGTATAAGTTTTTAATCTGAAAATAAGTCAGGCTTTAATTTTGGAAGTAACTTGCGTTGGTACTAAAATTAATCATTTACTTGGCACTTTACTGGCTCGATCCAGGCTTATATTAAGAGGAAAACGAAGAGACTTTAAAGCTGCCCTAAAAGGAATCTTGAAGATTTGTCCTTAGAGAATATGGGTAGGAATAGCTTTAAGGGCAAGTGACAGTACTATGACTGCTGTGCAGTTGAGAGCTCATGTAATAAATCATCACTAACAATTGTATAAAATTGCATTTAATATAGAAGACTGACCCCGAGGCTAGATCTCAGGGGAGCTTAGAGACTAGAGGAGGGTCTGAATTCAGAGCAGACAGTGACAACAGACTACAGACCCACCCCTGGAGGCACAGCTCTCTGAAATCCTGGGGTTAAGATCCTTTACGTTAAAAATAATAAAAGTCTCCCATTGATTTCCAATAATTCTCAGTAATGACTATGGGAAAATGTTGTTATACAGTAAGATTAGATGAAGTCCCCTGTCATGAAAGTAGTGAATGCCCAATCACAGAAAGTTTGTAGGTACTTCAGTGTTTACTGGGGGATTTACATCATATGTGGAGATTCAAAGCCAAATTTTTTGCAGCTAGTTCTCAAATTGCAGAAATCATGTGTTCCTCACCTGCTACCACTGCAATGCTAATATTAAAGCCAGGATACCTGGCTCCTAGGCAGCTTTTTCAAATACTCAGGACTTTAATTAGAAAGAAAAACATCATTAAATGGTTTACATTAAGTCCATAGCTAAGTAAGCCTTATAGTTATAATCTGAAGCTGCATTTAGCAGAAGTTTTGCACTGTCCCTAGGAATAGGACTCAGGAATGCATTTTTGAAATAGTAACATAATGTTCCAGAGTGAAAAGATTTTTTTAAGTTGCTTCTGCTCAATATCCTTTTTAATTCAGATGCAGAGACTGAGAACTTCTAGCATCCTTCACAACAGACCTTATAAACTCATGTACTTTAAATAGACACTCCTCCAGCACATTAGAATTATTTTCTTTTAGCATTTCCTAAGGTAGAGAAGAACTTTATACCTTGTACTGTCAATGTAGCCTGGGTTTGAGTTTCTCCTAATTCATTCCAGGCTTCACAGGTGTATTTGCCTGTGTCTTCAGGAAATACTTCCTGGATGTACAGACTGTACTCATTGCCTTTCTTCTCAAAGTGGAAATCTTCTGTCTCTTGGATTTCTTTCCCATTGTGCAGCCAGATAATTTCAGGAGGTGGGTTAGCTGAAAAATAGGAAACAACAAAAATCAGAGACACACACACAAAATCACCAGATATTGATTAAGAAAATGAACAAGGTTGGTTGTTTTCTGCCACCTGATTCTGCAATTTCATCTTAAAACCATCCAGGAATTTCAATAATTCTGTCGATGCTATTTAATGTGGAGTAGTTCTAAGTCTGTCTTATTACAGTTAAAATACAAATTAATAAGGGAAGTATGTATACAACAGAGAGGGAGAATGAGTTCTAGATCCCATGAAGGTGGTTATCAAGCGTTTCTATTACCAAAGTTCATACCAGGACTGCTTTTTTCTGTAGCACTAATCTTACCCCAGCTGACGGGAATTCAATCTTGTTTGGTTCACAACAAAAGCTATTACACGTCCACTAAGACTTAGTTTTAGTTCAACAGCAGGACCCAGTAATAACCTTATTATTATTATTATTCCAATAAAGAAACACTTGTACAGGTCTGAACACATTAACACTGGACAATGTTCATCCACCCTGAAGATCGGATTAGACAAACCTAGATTTACTTTTAAAAAATTTGTTCCTTGAAATATTATTTCCAAATGCAAAGACACCTGCTAAAAGAAAAGGACAGTGGAAAAAAGCACATACTTTGCAGCAGGACTTAAAATTTTAAAATAATACTGTTCTATAGCTACGCACCTGATACCTCCACAGTCATTATCACTTGACTTCCATCCATTACTTTGAGGTCAGTCAGGCCTTTAAGGAAGACGGGTGCAAAAGTCTTGTTTAACTTGGCAGCCTGTGCACTTTCTGCCTTCTTGCTGCTCTTCTTTTCTGTGAAGCCAAGAAGAGAACAAAAGGAGTCTCTTACTGGAATTTTCATGACAAATTTTAACTGACCTTAGGTTCAAACTAACTTTGAGTCAGTGGTCTTGTTTCAGCTCTCAGAAGGCAAAAATCACTGAAACCACCCAATATAGCTGTTTCACCTTGCCAGTAGTCCAAGCAGAAAGGCAAGAAATGGGAATGGAACCGTCCTTCCTCCAGGGATCCTCTTAAATCATTGTTAACAGATATCATAGAGTATCACACAGAAATTTACAGTCGTTTTCCCCAAGTACACATGCTCAGGTGCAAAAAAAACCCCCAACAACTTGTAACCAACAATTCAATGCCTTTAATCACTGCCAAATTCACATAAAAATCTTAAGATATGTTACAAATTGCTATTCTCATGATTGATGCGTTAAAAATGTAAACTTACAGGGTGTTGGGTGGACTTGATGATCTTAGAGGGTTTTTCCAACCTTGATGATTCTATGATTCTATGATTCTATGAATATAGGATTCGCCACCCTGTATGAAACTACAAACTCTTTAGATTGGTAGACAGTCAATATCAAATGGGTTTGAGTTCACCATACTCCTCTCCTGTATTACACTTAGCCAACTGACTGATGATGGGAAGGATTGAAACCTGAGGTTATCAACATATATCACAAAACAAACTGCTGGATTAGGGCGCTTTTTTTTTTTTTTGAGGCTGTACAATCAAACAATGAGTGCTGGAGTTAAATTAATCACTCTTAAAAATAAAATCTATCTGTGATAGATATGTAATTTCCAGTATCCACAGTGGTCTCCTCTGTCTAGGATTCAGAGGCTATGAAGCAAGATCATTTAACTGTGACCTATATGGTACACTAGACGAGGAAAGATACTTCTGCTCTAAAAACCTGAGCAAAGGCACTTCTGAAGCCAAAGTAGTGATCATGACCAAATGTAAGAAGTCATAAATATTTATCGGTCACTTGGATACACTTTTTGTTTTGTTTAGCTTGAGTTCAGACCTCTTACGTCTTGCCTTTAAAATGCCAACCCTACTTTCTGTCCACACATTAGCTTCATTTTGCTTATTCCTACCTTCAAGATTTTCAAAGGTGTATCAAGATCATCCAAAATAGTATTACAGCAACACAAAGTACCAGGCTGGGAAAAAAACACCATTCATAAAAGGATGGTAATTAGAAAAACTGAAAGCACCTCACTGGGCAAGTCCACTGAACCTCCTGGAGGCAAAAAGTTAAGCTTGTCCCAGGGTTATTTGAGCTCAGTGTAAATTTGGAAGCTGCCTGGAGAGGAAGTTTTTTCCTCTTCTCTAGCAAAGCTTTTTCTAGCCAAAATCTTGTCTCACTGGCTTATGTTGTAGGTCTTTTCTTGGCACTGAACAGTGAGACATTGATGCATGTGAGAATGGAAATATGGGACCTGACTGAGACCCACTCAGCTCGGTGTTATGGGCTTACTACTTTGAAATGCCTGATACACTGTCAGGCTACGTTGATCTTAGGGCTTCTTATAGCACCTGCTTCTAAGTGACTAATGCTGTACAGAAAATAGCCATGAAGTTGGGTCAAACAATAATAAACTGCTGTGGTTCACCATATTCCTCTGTTTTGTACTGATTACTCAGGGAAACAGCTTCAAACAACTGCTGTACTAAGCAGTATCAGCACATGCTCCTTCACTACTCTAATGCCTTGCAGAAAATCCCTTTGTCCCTCAAACTGCAACAGACCTGGGAGGGAAAGCAGAAATCCATATAATGGGAAAAAGGAGGAAAAGGAAAAAACAAGAAAGTAATAAGACAAGAAAGAGGCATAGAAAAAAAAAGAGATAAAAGGACACTTAAATGATCATGTTTCTGTTATCCCTTTTATTGAAATAATTCATAACATTGCAAATCAAGAAGGCAGATATGCAATAAAAGGAGAGCAGGGAAAGGAAAATAAAAGCAGAGGTGTGGTTCTAGACCAACAAACATTTGGGGTATGATCAGAGAAGTTCAAGCCTTCAGAGGAGGACAGATAACAAAAGAAGAGCTGAAACAGCTCCCACAAGAGAGTTAACAGTGACCAGGAAACAAATTTGCTAGTAGTGGCTCTAACAGCAATTCTCCCAGAACAGACGAGCTGCCTCCAGCAGAGCCCTGGTACAAACAGCATTAAGTACTAGCAGCACTCACATTCCTCGCAACTCGCTCTTTGCTTTATTAGACTGATGTGCCTGTTCCACGTAGTCTAAATAAATGGATTTCTGTAATCAAGGAAGACAATACAGTGTAACAGCCTCAGCTTATTAAAAAGAAATGGGTGAGCAACTACAGAAGGAATAGAGCAAAATCATTTCCCAAAAGGAATTTTTCAGCAATGCTAACTCCTCAAAAATATGTGCTGCAGAAATGAAAGTTTCACGTACTGGAACAAAACCACCTTCTTGCAAAGAGCTGCATAAACATTAAAAGGAAGCAAGCAAATAATTCATGTAATTGCATATATGAATCACAAACCCAACAGATTACAAAAAAGTCAGGCCTCCGTTTCTAAAGTTATCTCAGGCAAATGTATCCTATGCTGGTGAGGAGACCTACTGATATGAGTGACATTAAGAAGATTTACTGGGGGTTCAGACCTCTAAAAGAGTGACCCACAGGATTAAAGGATGAAGAACAACTTGCCATTGTTACTGATCAGTGCTCATTATCTGTAAGTGAAGCTGTCAAATTGAAATTAAGGGGGCCAAAACCTGCCTCACCATCACACAAATCTTAAAAATAGCATTTACACTGAACTTAAGCACTGCATAGGTTTATGCTGATCTCTTGTATGAAGACCAGTTCTGTGCTTAAACACAAAATTATGATGGTAAGTATCAAAAAACAGAAGTGTATGGTAGATGAGTAGTAAAAAACTTAAAGGTACAGCTTCAACAGTGCAAGAAAAGTTACTGGAGAGACTAAAGAGTTATTTCATTAGGGCAAACTGAATGTAATCATTAAGAGGACATTAAGATGGATTAGTAAGTCTGAAATATTGAAAACTTGAGGATTACTCCAGGGACAGAAACAAAGGCAACTTTTAACCTTCCTGAAGACATTCCTATCCAATATTCCTATATACCAATACACATACACTTCAATTTAGTCCCTGAAGTATTACCTGATTTCTCAATACCTATTACAAAGCAGGAGTAAAAATGTCTCCCTTTCTATTGCTGATGTTCTTTGGAGCACGGGGGCATTTCTTTACCAAAAGATATGAAATCTGCTGTATGTAAGAGCTCAAAAATTAGAAGCTATCATGGCTAAGGCAACCAGTATTCCTTTTGAAACGTGTGACATCCATTAGAAGCTAGCATGGCTAAGGCAACCAGTATTTAAGGCGACCAGTATTCCTTTTCAAATGTGTGACATCCAGGATACAGTAAATATATGGCTAAAAAGACAGACTCTATGGCAACTTGAACAGGCTTTCTTCAAAACACAAGCATTCTCCCCTACTTTTAAAATAATTTTTTAGTGGGGATCTCTAATCTAATGCTACTGTTGTTCAGTAGTATATGTTCATCAGTAGCATATGTTTATTGTACCAACAACTTAAGCAGAATATCAGAATATCACAAAAATTGTCTAATGTTTCTTGACTAGGTAGCAACAATTAAAAAGACTTAAGTTCTAATCCATAAACACTATTTGTTCATTAAGAAATCATAGGGGCTCATTTCATGTAACATTTCTTCTTTACTTAAAATTTGATATTGTAGACTTCTAGACTTAGAAAAAAATTAAACTGACCTACTGACAACTTTAGTTTCTCGCAGATGTTTTACACAAGACAACAGAGCCAGTTTTAGATACATTATTTAGTTTTATTTAGCCTTAGTCTAAAATCATTGCATTTTCTCAGAAGGGACTGATACAATCATACAGAGGCCAAATTACAAAGCCTGAACGCTAACTATTTTCAAATTCTTCTGAAACTGAATGCTTTTAGTTGTTTATTTATTACATAGCACCATGCAGTGACTCAGTGCTCCTCTGATGAAGGCTTTAACATTTCACAATTTTACCATGAGATAGCAGTGCTGTACATATTCACAGCTTATTTTAATATACCTAAGGGCTTCTTCAATTTTAGCCTTTACAGCACTTGTTTGGAAAAAACAGCAGTCAATTTGATTTTAGAGGGTACTTGGGAAAAGAGGGGACACTGCTCATTCAAGATTAAGCAAATAACTCCTGTTCCCATTTATGGTGAAAAGATACTGTGTGATTCTACTTCCTTTTGGAAACACTTGGCGAATTATTTTGCCAGGAAAGTAGTACAAGGAAAACCATACACAAAAACCAGGCACTGTTTGCAAAAGGGTAACTTCAGAAAGTTTAACAACGGTAGAAGTTCACATTCCCTTGCCACAGCTGGGTGCTAACTAGTCCCATACATCAGGAACAAAATCTACACCAGAAAAATGGGGGGCAAGGAGATAAGAAAAACAGGACACAAATAAGCAAGCTGCACACAACAAAAGGCCAGTATCAGGGCTTGCTTTCCCTCATTCCTCCAAAGCCCCTTTCACCACATGAACTCTTCTGGGGTTCAAAATTCATATGCTCTTCAATGACAGCTGCCTTCAGAGCCCAAAGCAGGGGGAAGGAAGAGGAAGAAGAAAGCACAGGTACAGCTCCCAGCTCAGATACTGCAAGTCACTATACTTCCGGTTGAAACAACCACGTTTGTGACACTCCAGGGTATTTTTGCTGCCAAAACTACATACAATAAAAATATGACACATCTGGCACCAGAAAGGAAATCTGGAACCTAAGGAAAATTTTGTCTGACATTAGCATAAGAGCATGACTTTGTTATATACCTACACATCCTCAAGCTTAATCAACTGGATGTGAAAAAGAGGAGATCCGATCTCTTCCTATTATGTTAATGCGCTCTAATCGCCTATAGCCATTTAACATCTCCCTCACCACTCTTACTTCTTAT